CGTGCCACCATTTTCCTTAAATTCACGGTTTTCCGTTCTTTAACTTTGATATCCAAGAAGGGTCAGGGCCGGATTTACCTACTTGCCGCCCATGGGCCGGTACTATTTTGCCGCCCTCTTCTCATTCGTTTTAAACATCAATGAAACCATCAAATGAACGTGCCAGGGGGGAGGGGTGCATGAGACGCGTTCAGTCGTGTTGGACACATTTTTTTCGTAAGCCCTGTCAACACTACTAGCAAAAGTTCACGGAACTTTGCGCGAAAGTTAAGTTTCGTAAACCTATCTCTGTGTGGACAAGGCCTTCCATTCATAAGAAATGAACGAAAAAATTATGAAAGAACAAACATGATTTTAACTTCCGCCGCCGCGCCTCGCAGACCGTACTGTGTTTGACGCAATGCGTAAAGTATTCACGCAGTCTTGTAGGCGATATGCGTCTCACGCTGATCGCACTGTGTTTGCCGCAATGCGTGAGGTATTCGTGCATTCTTGTAGGCGCTACCCGTTTCACGCTGTCAGCAATGACCGCACTGTGTTTGATGCAATGCGTGAAGTATTCGTGCAGTCTTGTAGGCGCTAATATGTGTTACATGCCGATCGCCGCGCCGAGGGCCTCTCCTTTTCATCTCAAGTCCTCGTCATCATTTCTCTGTGGGTAAGTCGCGCCGTTCCAGGCCAAATTACGTGTTTGGTTTCTCTCTTAACCCGACTAATTAAAGGTGCGCAGTCTTTTTTATCACCGAAATATGACAAAATTAGAAATGAATGAACTCTCAGGAAATGAGAGATTTTGGAGGGAGATTTTGCGATTATGGAGAAGTCCTTGAGAGGGGCTTTAAAATGGCAAAACCACCGCGCGTTAACGAAGAAATTAAGCGTTTTCCTCGAAATTTAGATAAAAATCGCAAGTGTGGTAGAATCGCGTTTCCCTCGCAAAATCGCGGTAATTCATACACAAAACGCAAAAAAGTCATAGCCGTGAACTTCTTAAGAAAAAGGGGGTTATTAATTTGGGCAAGTTGGTAGTAATTATAATTTATGCCGCAATCACACGCTGAATTTAGCAGCTGAATGTGGAAGTCAACAGTCATCGCCCGACGGCTGAAATTGAGCAAATTCGAGTTATTTTCATCCAGATGTGTATAAAATCTACTCGAATAGTTTAGACAAAATCAACATTAATCAGATGGTTGCTGAGAATCGTTCACGCGCAAAATTCAGGCATCGGGCCGATGACTTCCACATTCAAGCCACATTCAGCGTGTGATTGCGGCATTAGTAAATATAATTCAGGGCAAGTAATTTCTGCATCCCTAATTCCGGGCGTGAAATCGTCACCTTCCGGCGAAAGCATCACAAGCGCTGTGCGGCGTTTCAAAATTTCCGCCGCCATTCTATATTCTTACAGAGAAATCGTTGGCTGAATCTGTTTGAAAATTTCACTGAATTTTATCGGCAGTACAAAGAAAATTCGGTGAAATTTTCGGACAGCTTCGTCGAACAATTTCTCTTTGAAAAAATAAAATAGCAGAGGTAATTTTGAAACGTCGCATGGCGTTTGTTATACTTCAGCCGGTAGGTGACGATCATAATAACACGGTATTAAGCTGATTCGTAAAGCTAAAGTGTCGTGGTCGAACTGGCATGCGATATATCGCATCTTTTAGGTCAAAAATCTCGGCAGATTTTGAATTTTCAGCAAAAAAAAAGGACGATAGCCCCTGCGCATGAGCCTAAAGAATCATTCTAAACCCAAGAATCGGCAAAATTCAGAGAAATGAAAGTAAGATAGTGTGTGGAAAAAAACCTCGCATTCGATTCAGCTATCGATTTCTGTATCGAATGCGAGGTTTTTTTTTTCCAAACACTATCCTGCTTTCATTTCTCTGAATTTTGCTGATTTTTGGGTTTAGAATGATTCTCTAGGATCATGCGCAGGGGCTATCGTCCTTTTTTTTTGCTGAAAATTCAAAATCTGCCGAGATTTTTGACCTAAAAGATGCGATATATCGCATGCCAGTTCGACCACTTCTTTTGAGCTCGACGAATCACCTTAACCCCTCTAGGCTCCGTTGCGGTTATTCAATTTCATATTTTCTAACTCCAACTCATAAAACTCTTCAAATCTTCTATCCCCTACAAATCATCTCAAATCTCTAAATCTAAACCTAATTAACACTCCTATCCTTCTATACCTAAAACAAACTAACAAATTACCCTCTTGGTATTTCTAGACCCCATCCAAGGCCGCAGTATCTACCCGATAAAACGCCTTAAAACCATAAAAAAAAAAAAAAAAAAAAAAAAAAAAAAAAATTCCTCCATCTTCAGAGCCCTTTTGCTCTACCTTTCGCCAGACTCGACCGCATATTTTCAGAGAGACCAGCAGCGGGGGAGACACGGCACAGGTAGCGTCAGATTGAAGCTCCCGACAATCGTGAGTAGCAGGTGTTTCGATACTAGAAGACAAAGTTTATCACCGGGGAAAAGTTACTTAGCAACCGCGATAAACACGAGGGGAGCGATGGTGGACGCCTCGGGCAATAATTATCAAAGGTATATCGGGCTTTGCGATAAATCGATCCATATGCCGTTTAAACCGATGGGATAGGATCGATAGTCGGATTGTACATCGATAATCGATTCTTTATCATAGCTTCAAATGGGATAATATCGATAGTCGATTATTCACGCCTCGCCACCGATAATTATCCTGGCGCGGCCCGCTATCCAACGTAACGTTCCTTCCGGTCAAGGGTGGAAAGTGGACAGTAGTTACACCACGCACTGCGCACCCCGCACTCCCTCATTAATATTCAATCGTTAATTACATGCGAATCGGCCGAGCTTCAAAGGGGATGTACGTGACTCAGAGAGGAGCCGCTCATACGAATGAGTCTCTGTAAAGACAGCAGATCCTCCTCATCCCCCCTCCCCCCAAAAAAATAAGAAATAAAAATATAATAAAATAAATAAAGATACAATCTGAGGCACTGGGTGCGAGAAGGGCACTTCTCCACAACGATATGCTGAATCTTTGTCGCTCGTGTAAGTCTTGTAGAAGAATTTGATGAGCGATTTTTTGGGGGGAATTTTCGCTACAGAACACTGTAGAATTATAAAGCACGTTTAGTAAAAAATGGCAATGAAATGCATAAATTCACTTCCCTTAAAATCAATGAAACATTGCAACTAAGAAGTGGTACTGACGAAACGGTACTGCCTCCTTGCGCTCCAGTACTTGTGCGCTGGTGAAACTTCTGCATCCGAATGATGGCGAAGAGTACTATAAGAAGTGCTCTTCACACATTCAGGCTCAGCGCCTTGATTGGGCAGGACTGACAACCGAGTTGAATGTGCAATTGTGTGAAGCTACTTGATGATTTTATTTTAGCAACTTTCATGAGTTCCTCAATGATCATTTTACTCTCATTGGAGTATTTGAACTAATGATTAGCTTCATAGGCAAGATCAATATTGAAATGATGAGTTCCGCGGCCAAAGTCTGCTAGGTTCTAGGCAAAACTACCTACTAGCTGCCTTCAGAGAAACACATTTGCCAATTGCTAAAATTTGCTGCTTTCTCAAATTGCTTTCACTCTCACTACTCATGAAAGTACCAAAGGTCATCATGTTATGACATTTAAGAGAGAAACCCAATTTCAAATTGAAACTAACCCAGTCATAAAATAGAGGAATGAGCAAAAATAAAGCTATCTACGATTTTATAACTTTAACTATTAATAGCTGTTATCTGCTAACAATTTCAGGACTCAGCTATTTTCTAGACTAAAATGCAAAAATGGAGCTTGTCAGAAAGAAAAAGCTTAACTTGATGACTTGCTTTTCCTATTTGACTTTACATTGACCGGCTTGGAAATCTGTAGATGAAAATGAGAATAAGTAGCTGCTCGGAATGGCTACTCCTGCGTTTGCACTTGTCAGTCATGGCAAAAAAACAGAATTGGTGAAGTGACTGCGCTCGACCTAGTCTTTGATGCAAATTTTGTTTACATAATACAGCCTGAAACATACCTAGTTGGCCTTCATAGAGACAGTGCAATCAGAAATGAAATTTGTAAACAAATCTGTCCTTGATATCTGATATGAATGTTTACAACATATTATCGCAAGCCATCTGAGTATAACAATAAGAGCAGAGTACTAAACTAGAAATAAGTACTTAATTGGAACTGATTGGCATAGGATAGAAAATAATTTTAAGACGGATCAATAGCGTTTCGGTTAGGTTAGGTGTATGTATCGGCTCAGTTGAGAGCTGAATTTAGCTGCCAGACAACTGATGAGAAGTCAAACACAACATGTAAACTGAAGTCAGAGGCGGGGAATGGGATATATTGGAGAATAAAGACTGAAAAAGAATGATAAAATGAAAATGAGATAAGGATGATATTAGAGGGGAAATGATATGGGTGTGCCTCCCTATGACGGGTCACGGCAGTTGGGTGTTATGGCTCCGGCAGGGCCAACCAAAATGACGATGTAACCGAGCTGAAAATCGAATGCGACGATAAAATAACTGAAGAATAATACTGAGAGGAATGAAATCTTTGAAACTTACCACTTCAGATCCTTTAGATGCCATTTTCACGACAATTTCAGTCAAAATAAGTTGAGTAAAACTTCCGCCGCGATATAAACAAAACAACGGTATGCAGAGGTGCGAGGAATGTAGAGGTGTGGCTCACGGCCACCTCATAGGTTCCTGTCAAATTTTTTGCTGCAACCAGCAGTACATGACAGCCCAGTCAAACATGCAACTCATGTAAAGTCTTTATTGAGCGCTTACAGCTTTCAAAAATTGATAATCAGTCAATTTTCAGTTTTTTCACGATGAGGAACTCACGTCTCGTGAATGTAATTGGAAAAATACGAAATACCATTTTATGTCACACTTTGGGCGAGGAAGGAAGAAGGAGTGACCCATTTATCACTCTCTATTTTCTTATCATCGTTGTTGCCCTTTGCTGTAAACATAACCTATAAATCAAATCCACCGGGATTTGAACGTTTCTCGGCGTTTTCTGACCCTAGTCAGTTTAATATTAAAATAAAAAATCGTTTTTGGTGATTGTCTATTAGTGTATGTCTCGTTAAAGTTTCCAGGAAGTTTATTTTGTATCACCGAGGTAAAATAATGAAAGATTTCTCAAGTATATAGTAGCTTCACTTCTTACCGTCATTATACCCTCATGTGGATTCACATGTATTTGCCTTCTCTGTTTTAAGTATTCCTTCCATTCGCTTAATTGATGCCTAGTTAGAAGCACTTATAACTTGAAGTCTTTGTGCCTAGTGCTACACTAAATTTGTAATCCAGTTTATCCTTTAGGCTCATCTGGAAGTCACCACAGAGGGCGTAGCGTTTCAATTTTTGTACCACTGTGTAGAGTACAGTGAAGCTGAATCACTGAATTACACAGTAAATATTTTAACAAAGCCAAAACAATATGAGGATTGTTACTTGCCATCCTCCAAATTAATCCAGTAACCTCTGGAAACCTGCCATCGATCACTGAGTGCTGTGCTTCTAATGTTCAACAGCATTCTCCATGATGATCAATCAGATAAGATATGAATAGCACTATATGAAATCCCTCCTCATCCCAATTTCAAAACAAACTGAGCATGGTTTGAAAGTTTAAAATCAACCTTTCCATATCAGAAGCTTACATTAATGTTGTACGATTAAAACTTTATGTTCGCTAAAAGTCTGCTTGTTAAACTTGCCTTTGAAGAAAAATTCTATGTCTGGAGAATAAGTAGTTTCTTATCATAAAAACCTAATGCCTCTCTTGACACATGGTACATTCAAAATTTTTTAGACAATTTCAGCTCCCTAAAATGTTTATTCAATTGCAAAGCAAATTGAAATCAATTTAGTCGCCAACTTGACTCAAGAAGACTTACGCTTTTTGGTTGACTAGAAGTTAGAATGGATGGTTCTAAAGGACGCTTTTTTCTTATCTATGAGTTAAATTTTTTAATATTTAATGTGTCTATCATATTCTAGGTACATAAAATTTTGATGAAAAAACTTGTACGTACTGCAGTGCTTGATGTTTGAATCTACCTTTCTATCGAATCTGATACTTAACATTTAAAATGCTGTCCATCTAATCGTAAAATTCAATTTTACTTGCTGTCACATACTTAGATTTCCACTTATTCCTTGTATTTATGATGTACTTACGTTCCTTTTTCCAGAAAATGTCTGATGATGAAGATATTTTATATATTAAGAAACAAAAAACCTCCCATTATGGACCTCTGGATGACAAGCTCCGACCAACATCCATGGACCATGATGAATCTTCCCAAGACTCTTCGAAGGGCATGGATATGGACAATATTCACATTTCTAATGGTTAGTTTTGGAAGCAGTATTCATCTGTTATGGATATTTCTTTCACAATTTCTCATTTTAATTTACAAAACGAAAACCCTAGAAAGCCAGGGAATTAATGGGAACCTAGAGAATTTTTGACTAACTGACTGTATAGCTGCAGAAAATGAATAGGCATGTTACAAATTGAGAAGGTTAAGAACTTTTTTTCTCGATTTTACAAAGTTTTTTTATTAATATTTTTCACAAATGGTTTTTGAGCTAAGGGGAGCACATAAAATCACCTCTTCATCATTGAGTAGGAAAATTCCAGCTCTAAAATATCAGTGAATGGTATAAAATTATAGAGGCGTCGTCAGATAAGTTGGCCATTGTTTACTTTTGGTTTGCAGGTGTTTTCGCGTCACTACTATCCACATGAAAACATCTGACTCTCGCAGAAGCGAGAACACAAGTTTGGATAGGTTTTTTAATACCTTCAAACCTTACAACACTTCAAGTTTTAGCCTCTTAGAAATCATAACCACCTAAAACTTGCGGATCACAATTGTTGAGTAGTTTTTTTCACGATACGATCGGGTGACAGATGTTTTCAAGATAGATGGTAGCAAACGACGGTCTGTGCAGAGGTCTAAATTCATTGTCTGAGCTTGCAAACCAAAAGTAAACGATGGCCAACTTATCTGACGACACCTCGCAGCAATTCACAGTGGGATGAGAGTAATTGGAGATGTACGAAAATAAATTCATCTCGATGAAAATGAGGAGGTCTACAGTTCAATTGTTATGCAAGAGTTTACACCTCTGAATGGTTGACTTCTTGGCTAGATATGTCTAAGATGAATCCCTCTTGAGGAGACATAGAGCTAAAATCTGTTCTTTTGGCACTGATCTGTGTGTGAAATGGAAATTCGTCTTCCATTTTGTGGATCTACATCTACAAAACAATAATGATATGCCATGGATTTGTGGAACAACAGTGACATGCCAGGAAGGAATCCATGTAACAACCATTTGATGGATTACCAACATGCTATGAATCCAGCATCGAGCAGTGGAGAACCAACGATCGGTTCCCTCTTTCTTCCTTTTTTAAGCGCTGGAAACTAGGCAGTTCCTTCAGCCTTTGAATGACTTTATAATGTTAGCAGATTTTTAAGTTTTCCAAAAATCTTTTTGTAAACTCACCTTATTTAGTGGTACTTAATTTTCTCACTTAAATTTTCAATTCACTTTGCAGAGTATATGGATTTGGAAGATGACATGGATCGAGATAAACAAGCACTTCGGGAGGAGTTTGAAAGGAGGAGAAAAGCTAGACAAGTGAATGTCTCAACCGATGATTCAGAGGTCAAAACTAGTCTAAGGCAGCTCGGTGAACCTATCTGTTTATTCGGAGAAGGCCCTGCCGAACGTAGGAATCGTCTTAGGGATCTTCTCTCCAGGTGGGTATCATAATTAAATGAATTAAAGAAATAAAATGTATTACTTTTGTATAAGAAATAGTTGCAAGGTCTGTGCCTCTCAAATGTCCCCATCTACTTGGATTTCATCTCAAAGTATGCTCCTCTTCGTATTCCTGATGTAAATCTGGTTAAACCTATTCACACTTTGACACAATTCAGCTCCTGCTGCATCTTTTAACAGCCTTTTGCTACGTGCTCTGCCAGGGGAAAATTTTCAGCAGATTTTTCCTGTCCAGTGGGCAGAGAGACTAGTTGTCAAAGGATGCACCTGGAGACAGGGTAATGATATAAAGAGAATAAAGTTGACGTATCCAGTTCCGGGAAATTAAACCCATTTCTGTCTCAGACTTGGTGATTCTTGGTTCCACCTGTAATAATTGCATTTTTATTTATATTCCCAACAAAAAATAAATTGAATACAAATTCTGTAGCATTCTCAAGAGATTAGTTCATTAATTTTTCCTTTTATTGCCCATCCAGGCTTGGAGAGGATGCAATAAAAAAGAAACAAGAGGCAGAAGAAGAAAGAATCCAGCAAGAAAAGGATCAAGAGACCACATGGTATCATGAAGGTCCTGAAGCTCTGAAATCTGCCAGATCTTGGATTGCAGGCAAGTACATTTTTAAACTCAAGTAGTATGTAATAAGCATCTGCTGTTTGTCCTTTTTTCCTTTTCATCTAAAATTGAGGAATTTCTTTCCAGTCTCAAAGTTTCCTCAGTTATTTTTTCAAACATTTCCATTAGATACATCTAGCATTACAGAGTCAATTTTATTTTTAATCTAGGTAAAATCCAAAGTCTGACTACTGGCAAACAGGGGTGCAAAAAGTCTCAAAATGCTGTCTATTTCTTGCAATCCAGCGTTTCTGCCTCTTGGCAAAATTACCAAGTTGCCTTACCTTTCAACACTCAAAAGCACTCTAATTTTCAAGATGTCTTTCTTGCGATCATGATTTTGCCACACATCCTATGATCTACCTCACGTCCCATCATTTGCCTCACTTCTACTTAAGTCCTCAGATCGCAAAATTAGACAGTGTTTGCTCTCTTGGAAGTCAGAAAGTGCGAAATACCATCAGGTTGTTTCAAATTTTTCCCCAGTAACTTATTTCTCTTCGCAGAAAACCGAGTATTGTTGTTTCCTCCATTCGTACACCAAACAAAACTCTCAGAAAATTTAAAAAAATAAAATAAAATAAAAAAAACTCAAACCCTACTTTTGAAGTTCAATTTTTTTTAAAATTATTGACAGCTAAAAAATTATACCCTTGGAACTCTCATGTTCTCTTCAGACTTAATTTTCAAATTATGTTTAATTAGCTAGATTTATTCCCAGGGCATGATTTAAACAAGTCCTTGTATTTGATTTATTTGCAGCTTTCTCTCTTCAGCGTGCAAAACAGAGACTAGAAAAAGCAAGGGCGACTGTATTGAACAACGAGACAGCTACCACAGCCCGAAAGCAAGAACTACATAAACGATTGACATCCCTCTCAATATACTGCAGTCAAATTGGCGATACAAGGCCCATAACATTCTGTAGCTTTAGTCCTAATTCTCAACTACTAGCCACATGCTCTTGGTAATATTTTTTGCTCTCTTTATTTCAAGGAGGAAAAATATTTTGAATCCACTAAAAACTTTTAATTGTAATCAAGCATCACAATAATATTCCTCCATCAAAAACGCATATAGAATGCACGAAGAACACAAAGTTTTTTAAAAAACACCGCAGACATGCATACATTGCCAATTTTCAAAATTAGCGCATGAATGTGAATCAGATTTTTCATAATCATAAATGTTATAGGGAATTTTTGATAGAGTAAAGTAGAAAATTAGGTGAGCTTGAGAAGGTGCTGTAATATGCAAAGTATTCCAATTATGTGCTTATCTCAGTAATCATTTTGATGTTTTGCTAAATGATTTTGAATTTATTGATGTTTGCAAATCAACTCAACTTTTTTACCTAGTATGTCGCTACTTTTATGGGTGTAACGAAAACTTGATAAGAAAGTTACTCTTTATTACCGTTGCCAATCATTGGAAATATCTGAGAAAATCCATCGTGTGGCATCTTAACCACATTATTATCCCAGGGAGACTTAACGGAATCTTTTTTTCAGGAGCGGGCTTATGAAGCTTTGGTCAATTCCAGACTGTGAGCAACAACACACGTTTAAGGGTCATGAAGGTTTTGTGGGTTGTGTGAAATTCCACCCCAAAGCTACAATTGCAGATACGCAAAATACATGTGAGCTAGCCTCCTGCGGATATGATGGCTCTGTTAAACTATGGTCCATGGACAGGTATCTTAGCTCCATTACCTATTTTGAATTTACCTCATTTCTCATTATCTCTAGCGAAATAGTTAGTTAAGTAGATCTTGCAATCATGATTGTGATCATAAATTGTTTTGATGCTTAAATTATTTAGAATAGAGCAAAATAATCAGATCTCCATGACCAGCAAGCCTCTGTGTCCATTGTTACTAGAGGTGTTATGCTTTAAAGAATAAGGTGTAAAATGTCATTTACTGTATTTCTCGAAAATTAATATCTCTGTTAATATTGAATGTAGAAACTAAGCTTCTGGGTGATCTTGTAATTTTTTTCCCCCATTATCTGTCAGGATATCACTCTATGAAAATATCAGTGAGTTTATATCTGTTTGAATAAATTATTATTAGCGTTAAGTTATTTAGGATGAAGGAAAAATCCAAGTATCATGATTAATCCTATCTCAGAGGAATGAATGCAAGCACTTTAATCATCTCTTTAGCAGTGCTTGATGCAAAAAACCAGAAATGGGCAGATTTAACTAGAATTCATCCAACTGCATTTTTTGGTTGCCTAATTTCCTCTCATCTGTTTTTTTATCTTCAACAAAGAACTAAACCTCTAAGAATTTACCCTATATGATGAAGAATATACTCGAAAAACTTTGGTTCATGCTGCTTAGTTTTTTGATAAAACACCTGAGAAAATTAGGCAAAATCTGATGTACTTGTCAAAATGTTGACCCTGTCTCTCTTCAATTGTTTTTAGAGAAACTGCAATTGCCGATCTAACTGGTCACGACGCCAGAGTTTCGCGGGTTGCTTTTCATCCATCTGGTCGATTTTTAGGAACTTGCTGCTTTGATCATTCTTGGCGATTGTGGGATCTTGAATCAACGCAAGAAGTTCTTCATCAAGAAGGTCACTGCCAACCAGTCTACAGTATTGCCTTTCAAAATGATGGTTCTGTTGCTGCCACAGGGTGAGAGTCGACACTGAAATATTGTTCAGTTGTATACTTTTAAAACCAAAATTATACTGCTCTTCCTTAACTTAAAAGAAAAGTATCTTAGCTGCATTTACATAAATTTAAGGTTCTCTCTATGTCACAAATTGCTTTGCACACATTTGTAACAGCAAACAGTTCCTTACATTGCCCTCACAAAAATCAGGGATGGAGGGATTGTGAAGGCACCTGAAAAGAGAAAAACAGTGGAAAGGCAGAAGGCTATTAGAATTTTGCTTTCATAATTAGTATTATTTCTTCTTACGAATGCACTAATTTTTGTGGAAGAAACCATCAAACGCTCTTTTTTTAGAAGGAAACTATTGAACGCATTACTTGTCGGAAGGAAATTATGCAACGAATTCTTATATACAAAGCAAATAGAGAAGCACTCTCTTGTTTATGAGGAAAATTGAGAAGCCCGCTCTTGTATATGAGGAAAATAGTAAAGTGCTAAGTCGTATATGGACAGGAATGTGAAGGCTGCCTCAAAAAATGTGGAGGCAAAGAATTTTCTGCATCTTTGCGTGAATTGATATTTGTAGACTATTTTTGGTCTATAAGTTCGACATTTTCACTACCCATCCTCATCAGATGAAAAATTGGACTACATCGTCCAACCGTGAACAACAATTTTTGGCTCATCCATGAAAACACGTATGTGTATAGGGAAAGTAATGGCACATGCATTGTGACACATACAGACTGAGCTGAAAATTGTAGTTCCTTTTTGCAAAATGAAGTCCGATTCTCTTCTTAGTCAAATGCAGCAGGCTCCTAGGGCAACGGGAAGCAGAAAATAGTTTTAGGGTACTTTAGTTTATCAAACTCTTTCCCCTTCTCTTTCAGAGGTATGGACGCCTTTGGTCGCGTGTGGGATCTTAGAACAGGGAGATGTATCATGTTCATGGAAGGCCATCTGAAATCAATTTATGGGGTTGACTTTTCACCCAACGGGTAAGTTGTCGATTTGTCTTAATTTTCATAGGACTTTCATTGATACAAATTTTTGTAAATAAGCATATGGCACTCTAATACTTTATAAAAAGTGAAAATGAAGTTTATGAGGCATATTTAAGCGCGTAATTAAACCTCGATTAACTCTCTAATTTCTTTCCGTCAAATTTTGTTAAATGCACGGATAAAACCATGATCAGCTCTGTAGCAATTTTTGGAAGTTGGCAACACTCTTTTTCCTCCATTTAAATGTATGTAAAATAGTCCTTCTACGAAAATCGATATTTTTAATGTATTTAAATGCAGGAAAAACAGTGTTGCCATCTTGAAAATTGCCTTTTGGTCAGCCTAACTTCATCAGACATCGCTAATTTTTTCCTATGTTTCATTTCATAAACAGAAAATGAAACAACACCAATACAAGGTCTGTCCGGAAAGTATCCGACCCTGTTGATTATCTCGCCATCAAAGGTTGATAAGAAGTTGGGGCTTGGGATTATTTTTGTAGGGACTCTCCTGTGTGCAAGTGCACATCCGGACTATCACTCGTTGAATCAGTTGTTGGTAATTTGCTGATTAGTGTGTGCTTTTCTGCTGTGATCGTTGGATTTCGTTTTTCCTATATAAGAAGAAGTTAAAGAGAGTGAGGTGGGAAGAGTTTGTGAAGAAGATTATCACAGGGGACGGGTCCCTGGGATAAAAGTGCAATCGTCAGTTTGGATCGCACCTGGGAAACCTCGCCCGTAGAAAGCTCGGAAGAGTTGCAGCAATGTGAAGACAATGTTGACTGTCTTCTTTGATCATGAAGGTGTCGTCCATCATGAATATGCTCTCAAATGCTCTACTATCAATGAAGAGAGCTACTGAGAAATTTTACGTAGCTCAAGGGGCCATGGGGAGCGTATTCATGATGGACGACACCTTCATGATCAAAGAAGACAGTCAACATTGTCTTCACATTGCTGCGACTCTTCCGAGCTTTCTACGGGCGAGGTCTCCCGGGTGCGGTCCAAACTGACGATTGTACTTTTATCCCAGGGCTGTACCCGTAAACCCAAGACGCATCCCTTGTGATGATCTTCTTCACAAACTCTTTCCACCCCATTCTCTTTAACTTCTTCTTTTTTAGGAAAAACGATAGCTGACGATCACAGCAGAATAGGACGCACTAATCAGCAAATTACGAAGGACTGGTTCAATGTGTGATAATCCGGATGTACACCTGCACTTAGGAGAGTCCCTGCAAAAATCATCCCAAGCCCCAACCTCTTATCAACCGTTGATGGCAAGATAATTAACAAGGTCGGATACTTTCCGGACAGACCTCGTACTTGAATTTTTGCAAGAATATTCTTTGTAAGATAAGAAAAATTCGCAGAAAGTTCATAGGCATCTTGTAGTTTAGTTTTCTGTTAAAAAAATAAAACATGAAAGAACATCAGGCAACATGAAATGAAGTTAGCATGACTCTGGTTAAATGCACCCAAATGGTCGTCCAATTTCTAGGCTTATCACGGCTTATCACACTAATCAGCAAATTTTCATGAGTAAGACTTCTCACAAAGGAAAGGTACCAACAAATTAACTTCCTGACAAATTTTGAGAAAAGAAAGAGATAACTTGCAAAAAAGAAGTGAAAGTGTAGGTAAGGTTTTTCCACCAAGTAAATACATAATGCATCATTTAGACACAATAGAGTGCAAAAGTCGATTCGGTAGAATTTTTTTACCCTTGCTAGTGCTAGGCACCTTCAAAGACATCCTCAGAAATGCTCTGTCCGTATTCAATCCTAAAGTCTCCAACGTCCTGTCTGTTATAAAATCTTCCTATAATTAACTCAATGAGCCTTGTGGCCATGTTTTGGAACGAAGCATGTCATTTGAAGGAAGGCTAAAGTGTATTATTTTCTCACAGGCCCACTTATCTCTTAAATTTCTTTTTCCTAGGTACATAATGGCAACTGGCAGTGAGGACAACAGCTGTCGAATATGGGATCTTCGCAAAGTAGCATGTGTTTACACGATACCAGCCCATATGAATCTAGTGTCTCATGTTAAATTCCAAGAAGATGAAGGCCATTTTCTTGTCACTGCCTCTTATGACAACACCGCAAAGGTATTTATCTTTCAACTCTTCTGAAAATGTCAATTACAGTGGCAAAGCGTGAATCATCGATTTTCCCATCTGAAGCTATGATAAAGAATCAATTAAAGCAAAAGATCATTAAAGTGTTCATTGCAAATACTCTGATAATTGATCCTTTTTTATTTGTTTGAATGACAGATCAATCGATTAATTGCAAAGCAGGATAAGCCGCTGGCTCTCCTCTGTCAATTTATATAATGCATTTTTTTTCCATCTTACTTGAAATCTTATTTTAAGACTACCTAATCATTGTGATTTTTTGTCAATCGCACTCGGTTTTTCTCTTCCATTAGTAAAATATTCAATGAAAATTTCAAGCTATAAATGTGTCTCCTTTTGCTTCAAGGTAATTTTAAGACCGGAAAGCCACAATCAAGATTTTCTCTCCTAGTTTTCTTTTTTCTCACAAATTTTGTCTTGATAAGCTACGAGGGTCATCCAAAAAGTAAGTTCACCCCTTTCATATCTCCGAAACTAAAAGAGATAAATCAAATCGGTAAAAAATGATTTCTTACTTATATCTTCAGCTCTCCATAGGTACCAAGATTTTTAAGTTTGGACCACTGGTTGCCGAGATATTCGATTTTTACGTGAACAACTCCCGACCAGTTCCGTCCACCAAACGACGCCTAGTGCTGTAATTCACACCTTGTTTAAGGACCCGTTGCTAAGCCTAACATTAGCGATTAATGTTACATACTGACTCAAACATATGTTTTAAATTTTGTTTTACACAGATTTGGTCCAACAAAACATGGCAACCAATGAAGACTCTCTCTGGGCACTATGGTAAAGTTATGGGCATGGATGTTTCCCCAGATTCAAAGTTTATCGCAACATGTTCCTACGATAGAACATACAAACTATGGGCTCCCGAGTAGTACTCTTTACCTGTACTTACGTTTTCTAGCTAGAATCTAATTTGATGACTGTGATGTTACTAGTAGTATCTCGAATGTATTTTATTAATGTTTGTAAGTTCCACCACAAACGTATCCTTATAGAAACTGGATGCCATAGTTATTTTGATGGTTTGTGTGTCCTCAACATTGCAGATAGCACTGATTTTCTTTTATAGACAGTGTGTCACTGCGTCGCACCCTGAAACAATCATTGTTTGATTAAGTTTCACCCTTATTTTCTGAAGGTTTTTAAAATCGAACGAATTGCATTTGGACCGCGTTAAACAGAAAGGAACCAAGCCACATCGGCCATTGCCAAATTTAATCGAGCAATTTAATTTTTTACATGAAAACGGATGTACGGATTTTCGTGCAAATTTCAGTGGATTTTCTCTACAGTACAAAGCAAATTCCTTAAAATTTTCAAAGGAATCCACACAAACATTCTCTCGTAAAAAATTAAATTGCCCAATTAAATTTGGCAATAGCTGATGTGGCTTGGTTCCTATCTGTTAAACGCGGTCCATTTATAGATTGAGTGAAGAATCCACTTGATTTTCTTAATACTTTCTTTTTCCCCGCTTGAAAATCGCTATTTTTCTTGAATCAACAATGACGATTCAATGACCAGGTAAAATCTTTGTCCATCTCCAGAGTTGCAGATAAGATTCACACTATTGCCTGATGGTCCTCTTATGAATTTTGTAGTTGTAAGTTGGAATATTGATCTCCTCTTTTCAAGATTAAATGAAAGGAATTATTTTAATTTTGGGTTTGTGTTTTAAACAGTTCTACTAATTAATCTAATTGAATTACTATAATTTTGAATAATCCAAAATTGAATCACAAGAATTGAATCCTCTGAAATTTGGGTCACGAAAAATTGAGTTTCCACACATATTTTTCCATGCGTCTTTTCCGCTTTTGTTTTTAATCTTTTGTATATCAATATCAAATACATCTACATATTTTGTTTTCATCAGGTTTCAATTTGTTGATTTTCAGTAAATGAAACTCTCTGCTGTATCAGTTATTTATTCACCTGGTATCTTCATCGTATCCACTGAACCATTATAGAACCGTATTTTTCAGAATACGCTGATTACCTTTTGCAACTCAGTAGCAGGGTTGAATGTCCAGGGTTGTTTATATGATAAGAAAAATACTAATTACTAGAAAAACATATTAAGCCACGCATACCACCAGGCAGGTTTGATTTTAGTCTAATAAAAAACCATATTTCCAGGGAAGACATGATCAAATATGAGCAACATATAGCAAAAGGGAACCAAGAGGCGTTTGAAAAAAAAAGAAAAAAAAGTTTTTGCCCGCAGGGAAGCATATTTTCTTTTATTTCAAATCTAATGTTCGCAAGAAATATTTAATATGACAAAATTTGGCCTGAAATTTAATTTTTTACATTGAGCCTTATGGAGGGATGAAACTCCAAATTTATTTCACTCTGCTCAAGATAATTTCACTCGATTGAATTTTGCTAAAAACTCTGCCGATTTTTAGGTACTCTGAATCTTTGTATATACTTTAAATGTATTTTTTTTAAGTCAAATAAAAAAAAATATTTTTCATGACTTCGTTTTTTTCTTTATCCTCTCTCTTTGTTATTACCTATGATCAATTAATTAATAAATCAATCAATTAAGTATGTATTCCGATAGGAAAGTGTATATATTGGCTAGTGTAGCAACTTCTCCAGGCATTGATCATAAAATGCACCAAAAATCAGGCTTTCAATTGTTCTTTTGTCCTTGCAAAACTGGTTGTTCTATGATAGCGGGTGAAGAGTCTTCTATGACCCCTTATGTACAGCTTGTTGGTCAAGATGACCAATTATTATTTTGGAATGAAGTTTATACAAAACTACCATCCAACGAAAGTCACTGTTGAGCTGGGTGCTGTGTGTCATCATCTTTTTTAACCCATCTTCTTTGACCTAAAATACTTGCAATGGATTTTAAAAATAAGTTCCAAGATAAGAAATCTGGAAGATGAAACAATTTGTCATGCTTGGGAGGAACAACCAAAACCATGAAAAAGAAATTGTATGCGTAAAAAACCAATCAATGGCGAAGTAAAAAAGTGTGGGGTCTCCAATTGTGACGTCACATGGCAAGTTGACTAATGTTTTATTTTTTTTTCTCATGAAAATAACAAGTTCCCATTGAAAATTCCCCATATTCATTCAATCGTTTTCACTGAAAATTTCAAGTCGATATTTTCATTATAGTTTTCTTTAAAAAAAAAAAAAAAACAAACATCAAGGATTCTCAAATGTGGCAATGAATGCATGCTTCTCTCATTTCAGGGCATTGAAATGAAATTCTTGAATAAACATAGATTTTTATAATTCATAATATTTAGTTCTAGCGTATGTATGGTGACTTTTAAACTTTTGAATAAGTGATTCATATGCTTGGTAATGAGAATAATGTACAGATGATTAAAGGATTTTAGTCAGACTTTAACATTTTTTAAAACGCCTCGAATACGCTAAGCAGCAATTGTCGCAGTAGATTTGTTGTGCGTGCTGATTTTAACTCATTACATACTCTCCAGTTTGAAGGCGTTTGACACGTGTGGGTGCATCTAATCTAACGCACTCTATTGGCGGAATTACGAAGTTTAGTTAGGCGTTAGCTTTATTATTCTATGGTTTAGTGCTTAGTGGTTATCTCCGCTTGATTGTTTACTAACAATTTGTTATCTGACTTTTCAATTTTTCCGGAGAATTTCATGTATTTTGCCGAAGTTATTGCAATTTTTTCAAAACTTTTTACTTCTGTGCTTTCGTCTCTTTTAAGATTCGAATGAGTTCAAAGATTTTATTTTCAATTTGTGCTTCTAATCAAACGGACGAACACACCAACTACATGTTGTTAATTTTTCCAATGCTTTGCGTTCCATTCTAAATCAATGAATGTCAGAATGAGTTGAGTAATTAAACAATTATTAATTACACTTACGGAAACTCTAATTTTTGCTCATCAGGAGTTCTGTAAGTCATCCCAATCCTGCCTCAACCTATGTCTACGTTTGAAGTTCCACAGTTCGGGAGAAGTGTTTAACAGATTCTCACCCAGTTAGTTTCTAGCTGATCATCAAGATTCATCCGAACAAACGAAGTAGAATGCCCTTCAATTCAGATGAGTCAAAACCAAGTTTCCAACCATCAAACAAGGTATGTGCTTGCAAAATTTTCCAACAGCATGAGGATAAGTAAATCTACCACGAGTCCTGCACCTTGTTGGCGTTTATTTTTCTGAATACAATATAAAATTTTTTGGCTTTGAAAGAACTCTTCTCTCGGGTGGCTAAGTGATTAAGAGTCCAACATAAGTCCTGAAATTGGTTTAGACCATGCCGACGCAGATTTGGTCGGACCTGTTAGGTTAGGTTTGTCCAGGCATGGAAGTCGCTTGCTACATTAAACATGTTGGCAGCAAGCAGATCGTCGACATTTTTATTTCAAAACTTTAAGATATTGATATGCAATGAATCCATAGTTAAGATAGGGTTTGTTCTGTCATTCTGACATTGTTTCAATAAGTGGTCCACCTTCGTTAATTTTCCATTTCCACAGTGCTGTGTCGCTGCTCTTGAAAACCAACTGATGATTGATCCAGGGTGACACTGATGCTGTTCATAATTTTATAAATGCCTGGTCTTCTACATGATCGCTTGCTTGATAGTTAAATGGAGACAAGTGCTTACTTATCTAATGCAAGTTTGTGAAATGTGAAACTCAAACGAGTAAGATGAAAATCACTCCGAAAGTGCTATACGTGTGACAACATCAACCCTTCATGCAAACACCTTTTTTCAGGAGTTTAATGTTGCGTTTAAACACATGCTCGTGCAAATTATTTTGACTGATTTAACTCAAATCAGCGAAGATTGCCTAGTTTTAGCAGTGCTTATTTTTTTAACGAAAGAAAAGGCTGTATTCTAATTCGCAAAATCTAGGGAAAATGCAAAAAGTGTTTCAGGGTGTTATGATGTTTAGTTTTCTGTTAAAAATAGGAAAATTAGAGGAAATTAGGCAATGTCAAATGCAGTGAGGTTGCTTCTGATTAAAGTATTTAATCCATTTCATGTTTTCCACAAAACTTTTTTGCTGTAGTAGTTTAGAAATCCTTGGCTTCTTCTTCTTAAATATTGACCCTTTTTTTAACATCTCTCTCACACTCATTTCCAGGTCAAGGTGATGTCAAAACCAATGCCACCCCCAAGTCGGGGAGGTTCATACATGGGGCAGCCTCGGAGTGGAGGAACATCTGGAATGGAGGGTTCAATGTCTGTCAACTCAATTATGACAACCAAAGAAAAACAAAAATACATCGAGGACTACAACTTCCAATATTGTGATGAAGCCTCCAAGTATGAAAAAATTGCAAAAATCGGTCAAGGAACTTTTGGGTGAGCCATTTTAATTTTCTTCATCCAAGTACCTATTGTTGGATATATGCGAAAAATGCCGATTTAGTCGTACAGTTCAAAACATTCAATAATAATAAAAAAAAAAATTCTTCGCAATTTTTTGTGATTTTATTTTTCCAGGACTATTGAAAAATATGCACTGAAAATTTCAATAGAACTGTCTGTTAGGTTCCCTTTTTATAAGAAAAATATAATCTGAGATGAATAACATATGGCAATCTGATAAGTATATTTTTTTTACTTCAGGCACCAATTTACGCCATAGCCTTCGGAAAAGTAGCTTCAAGGCTAGATTTTCAGTAAGCCAGGAAACTGGAGATCAATTTAAAAGTACGAATTGTCCATTTTTAACCTCAGAAAATGTCTAGTGTACTCAGGAATGTATCAAAAATAATTTAGCTCATGATTTGCAAAGGAGATGGAATATTGGTGCCACAGAAGAATATAAAAGCTCAGCCCTCCATTTTTCTTTCAAAACATAGCATTGACAAGATACCTGAATTGTTGACATATCCTTGTGTGCTTGCAATCTTTGTGTTTTTCAAGTATAATTCTCTTTACCCATTAATTCTGACCGTCTAAAACTGCGAAAGATGTCAAAACATAAAACATACTCTCGTTAATTGTAATTTTATTATTCCCATTTGTCTTGCTACTCTGTTACCGCATGTGTTTTGGATTGTTCAATTCTTCTCTAAAGTTCTACTTTTAAGTTCATAGATGTAAGTTTCCTAACAAAAGGTCTTTAATATCACATCATTTCTTGGGTTCCTTTGCAGGGAAGTCTTCAAAGCTAAGGATAGGAAGACGCAGAAAAAAATTGTAGCAATGAAAAAAGTTCTTATGGACAATGAAAAGGAAGGGGTAAGTAATGACCTTTGCCCTAACTACTCTGTTCTCTAGTGGGAGGAGTAATTTTTTGGCGTAAAGTGGAAGAATGCCCATTTTCATTGCAATGTTTCAGAATCTGCAATCATGTTTTAATGTTCTCAAATATAACTTAGAAAAAAACGTTCTCTTGAAACTTTTCGTGAATAATTTTGTACAAGTAAAATAACTACAGAAAATTTCACGAAAAACTGTTGATTAGTTTTTTAAAAGGGAAAACACAACACGAGTAGCAATTCAAGTTGCAATTGAAAACATGCATTTTTCGACTATATAGGCTATTTTGACTATAAAAGTGCATTAAAAAAACTCTCATTGCCAAAATATTCTCAACCAATAGCTCTTAAGTTAAAGGTTGTTTCATTTGCAGAAAAGCAAAGACACACGAGTCCTGACCAATAAAGACAGGAGTACTACAGCGGCTACTTTCCGTACAATGTAGGAGTTCACAGTTGATGCTAATTTAATCAGAAGACTCATGAAGTTCAGTAGAAGATCTATATCTTTATCCATGCTTCCGACAGTTAGGGAAAACCAGGAAATGTCAGGGAAAACCTGAAAACGCTAAGGAAAATGACAAAATGCCAGAGAAAATTTGTCAAGTCACCTTTATTTGCTTTCAAGAATTGGTTTGATGTCTCTAACAACGAAGTTTGTCTGGAAACAATTTCAAATTATATCTTTTTAATCATCTGGCATGTTTTCAATTGTCACCTGAGAATTTTACTTAAATGTGTCAGGGAAATCAGAAAAATTTTGGGGAATTTCATTAATCACATCGTAAGGCCACCCTGTCAATCCCTGCATTTGGTTTTCCTAAATGAATCAAGACGATGAATATTCTGCTGAATTCATAGAAAATTTTTTAAGTTACGGACGTAATGGCACATGATTGGAAAATTAGCTTTCACGTCTATACTTAATCAAGAGCAGCATTCACATATATATAATGAAGTTCTCTTTTTATTTGTTTTCTTTTTATTTAATTTCAGTTTCCAATCACCGCCCTCCGAGAAATCAAAATTTTACAGTTGCTTAAACATGAAAATGTAGTCAACTTACTGGAAATTTGCCGCACCAAAGGTAATTTCACAAATTTTGTATCATTTTGACCCTAGATCTCCTCAGTTTTGTTTAGTGATTGGTGCGTTCTAAATAATAGTGTGTAATATTAGTGTAAACATAGTGTCAAATGCTGCCATGATAGCAAAGAGAGCAGTAAGTGAATGCTGGGATAAGCCTCGAGACACGTAAAATCATGTGCTAACCATGACTCATACAGAAACGGACTTACTGCTCTCTTCGCTGTCATGGCAGAATGGATGGAAAAATCAAAATAGGATGAAATGAGAATTGTTCAGTATTGCACAAACCTTCTCTCTCTTGAATGTAGTCATTTATCAATCACTTACGTTGGTTTCAACTAACTATAAAAAAAAAAAAAAGGAAAAAAAGAGGAAAAAAATGCATAATTTGTCAGCATCTTATCAGTGTTAGCACGATTTTTGCAAACTTGTGTTTGTACTTAAAATGAAAGTTAAAGTCTCAAGGTGAGTAGCAGTAAAACTTGAGCAACTACTCAAATTCAACAAGAAAAAATAAGTAGAAATTAAAATGACGCCCTACCATCCTTGTGTACCTTAAATCGACTCTTTTTATTTATTTATTTATTACGAATTGGTACATTAGCTTGCATGATGAAACGTCTTAATACAAGTCAAATTAGAAAATAATTACAGAACAACTGTGTCACCAATCTATAAATATCGAAGATAAAAGAAATCAATTCTAGGTCAAGTGTATATCCTAATGTAATTATAAATGTTTACTTTTCCAGCAACGTTATCGAACCGTTACAAAACTACTTTTTACCTAGTCTTCGATTTCTGTGAGCATGACTTAGCAGGACTCCTTTCAAATATTAATGTCAAATTTAGTCTCGGCGAAATAAAGAAAGTAATGCAGCAACTGTTGAATGGCCTGTATTATATTCATAGCAACAAGGTAGACAATTTTCATTTTTAAACTTCCTTTTAATCCCTTGGTACATATTTTCTCTATTCTGTTAATGGATATTCAACACCCAAAATTACACTGAAAAATATAGTTAGCTCTATGGTGATGTCTTTTTTGGCAACAAATCGATGTTAACCAGGTCTTTTGGCTGAGAATTTAATCCAACTTCAATATAACACCCAGAAACAATGTCGTCCTCCAATGCTCAGTATCTAAACATTCTCTACCTCCTTGAAAATTTTCCGGTTCTGTTGCAAATAATGTTTCTCTTATAATCTTAAAAATTACAATAAACTATAGCGAAAAATGTTTTTTTTTTTTTTTTACAACTATTCATTGTCAATTCTTAAAAACTTCCATGGTGTTTCTTTTCTTTTCGATGCAAATTAGGAGGTATTTTCAAGGAATGATATCGATTCGTTCTCCTTCAAAAAAATACAGTGGAAGCGGCCCTTTTTAAACACCACAAACAAGTTACGTGGGTTGGGAGTTTCACTGTCGATACACTTTGCTGCATCTTTTCCTGAATATCTTGTATGATTTTACAATGTTCCGAACGAACCATTTTCGAATCTACTTGTTTCATCTCCAAAATTTTAATTAGCAGTTGAGAGTTTGGAATACCACGATAAGTGCCCATCCTGCTTTTAGCACCTTAAGTAACTACATAGTTGCACAGTTGAAACTTCATTTTCCTTTTATTTTGATGAACTTTAACCTCTCTGTACAGGCTTTTTACAGATTCCATGATGAGAATTCACCAAATTAAAAAGTGTGAATGAGGAAAGTGCTAAGTTTAAACCATGCAAATTTTTAACTATAAAATACTATAAATTTTTCACTATAAATTTCTGGATGTTTAATTTTCATTATTTTTGTCATATTTCCTCAGATCCTGCACAGAGACATGAAAGCTGCCAATGTGCTCATAACAAAGACTGGTATTCTAAAACTAGCCGACTTCGGACTGGCTCGACCTTTTAGTTTTTCTAAAAACAGTGCTCCCAATAGGTTTGTGACATTCATATTTAAATTAATTATCGACATGAATTTTGAGATCACAGGGTTTCCCAGGGTTGACCCAAAAAATTTGAGGATTAATTAGATCCTAAAATAAGAATTTTTTGTTCTTCGTACATAGGTCGGAAAGTCAAACTTGTTCAAGTTACATTGATTAAAAGTTGTGCAAAAAACGTTCTGAGCCTCTTTTGGATGGTATGGCTTTCCTTTGCCATTCTCAAAGCGGAATTCTGATTTGAGCCGATAAAAATTGTTTAATGAGTGTTTTTCAAGGGACATTAAACTTACAAGCCAAACTGCGAGACATTAGTTATAACTTCAGTTTTTCAAGATTTTTGCATCCTTTTTTTTTCTTAAAAGAGAACAAAACTTACTACAAGTGAAAATTTCCTGACCTATAAACCTAACATTCTGCACTTACAAGTGAACAAGTCCAGAATTTTTGAAGGAATAATGTGGATTAGTTCTCTGTGAAGGTTCAGAATAAAGTCGGGCACCATTGCCACTGGCCTATCACAGCTGCCCACAGCAACGGCCTACACCTATATATATGCTCTCATCACACTATCAAACTTTTCATGCAACTCTTGGATGCAACTTGTCGAATGAAAAGTTGGATAGTGTGATACTGACGAGATAAAACGACAATTTGATGAAAAATTGAACGGAAACTTGCGCCAATTGGATGGAAAGTTGAATGAAAAGTTGGAACGAAATCTTCCTACTGACATGAGCTGTATCTTCGCGAACCGCAGGCTGATGACGATCACACTGCAATGGTAATTGAATCAAATTTTCTTGCGTCCAACTTTCCATCCAACTTTTCATTCACTTATATCGGATGAAAAGTTTGATAGTGTGAATTGGGCTTTATAGTTATCGTCATGGACCGATGTGTGTTCTACTAATCACATAAGAAGATCTGATCTGAAAGTACTTAATTGGGTTCATTAAATTTTTCAGGTACACAAATCGAGTAGTAACTCTATGGTATCGGCCACCTGAGCTTCTTTTAGGCGATCGCAATTATGGCCCACCTGTAGATTTGTGGGGCGCTGGATGCATAATGGCTGAAATGTGGACAAGGTCACCAATTATGCAAGGCAATACCGAGCAACAGCAGCTGACATTAATATCTCAACTCTGCGGCTCTATTACCCCTGAGGTTTGGCCAGGGGTTGACAGCTTAGAATTGTATACTAAAATGGAATTACCACGCGACCAAAAGCGAAAAGTAAGTTTTTCACTGTTTCTTCGTCTGTTAAATTTTGCCATTATCTCTGTTTTGTATTGTCTCTTCATTTTTCTTTAATTGAAGAAAGAGTTTTTTTGTTCTTTTTTTGTTGCCATCTCAAGATCCATTTTTTAACTCGCCTGTCTTGTGGAATTGCGATGCCACAACAAATTTTATCAAAATTAAAGTGAATGGAAATTTAGTCTCCATGCACAAGTTTTTGATTATTTCAGACTTGCTGATCAGAAACAGGGGAGCTCAAGCTCTTATATGAAGAAATTAGTCCAGGAAAATGCGGATGTTGTCCAAAGTCTTATAATAATCCCCTTCAAAATTTAACTCTAAAACTTTCAGACTTCTTAAATGAACTTGCTGCAAAAATTCTAAATTTCTCAGAGCTGATAGACGTCATCAATAGATGAATAGGTTGATAGATAGATTGATCGATGCGTTATCAGTGGTCAATATTAACTCAAAATACATTCAGCTGTGTTATACTATCCTCTAAATGTTCCCTTCAATTTTGCTGTACTTTACAAATAACTCGTAATGCCTGGCAGGATCGTCCGTTCAGTGATGAAGTTGCTCATCTTTTATTCCGAAAGAACAAGAGATGCTGGTATTTATCAATGTACAGTTACTAAATCCTCCTGTTAAAATATTTGTTAAATCATAAATTAGTATTTTCTCAGTCTTTAACTAATTTTTTTTTTTTTTTTCAGGTGAAAGAAAGACTAAAACCATACGTCAAAGACCCATTCGCGTGTGATCTTCTAGACAAATTATTAGTATTAGACCCAAGTAAAAGGGCGGACTCCGACTCAGCTCTTAATCATGATTTCTTCTGGACAGACCCCATGCCGTGCGATCTGTCAAAAATGCTGGCTCAACACACGCAAAGCATGTTTGAATACTTAGCTCCCCCCCGAAGACCCGGCCACATGAGGCCGCACCACCAGCAAGCTGCGGTTATCAACCCCACAGCTGCCCGAGCAACAACTTCCTCCGTCGAAAGTGGCTATCAAGATAGAGTATTTTAGTTGTAGCTTTCCTCTTGCTTTCAACACCGGCTCTGTGTTGTTTGTGAGTTTAAGTTATTTTCAATCGGGGCCTTTTTATATGATCTGATCTATTTTTGTTCATCATTTGTTTTCGGCCTTGTTGCTATCGTTGAATTAGCTTAGGTATGTCAAGTGCTTTTACCTACGAAGCCTTGTAAATGGGCCACTAGGCAAGGTCTGAATTTGAAATGAACATCACATATTTCCTCTCCAAAATTTTATATAGAACACGATTTACACAAGGAGGAGTGCAGAATTCAGCTCTTGAATGAGATATTAATAAGTATTTTCAACACTGATCCAACAAAAGTTAGACTTCATAAATGATGCCATCTCTATTTTTGTCCTTTAACCAATCTTAATTGTGTACACTTTTATCTTGTTTAGGAGGTGATTCCTAGACTTCCCATCGTGGGACTTGTTTTTCTCGTAAAATTTTGAAGGGGGATGTACTAGCGTAATACTTCAATTCATAACTTGTCTGCAGACCCATTGAAAGACGTATGAAAAAGGGGAAAAATCATCTCCTTTTAAGAGTTGAATTACTAAAAAATTGAAGGCTGGATTTGTTATTTTTTCAGTTTTGAGTATTTTTCAAAAATATGTATGTATATATCAGACAAAACGCCTAGTAATTATTTTTTCATGAAGTAAACAAAGCCAATAAAAAGATGGGGAAAGAGCCACTCGCTGTTTTTCGTTCCAGGAAATAAAAAATGTCGAAAAATCAGATGAAAAACTGAAAGAAAAGCAAATCCATTCAGAACCAACTCGGAGACGAACTGCAAGTTTATAAATTAAAGGATAGATGAAGGGTATCAAGTCTCATCCATTTTAGGGAAACAAAGGTTGAGCAGCTGTCAAATCATAGTACTTAATCATCCACTCGGTTCTCAACCAAATGTCTCTCTTAATCAATTATTTAAATTATCGATAGTCTCCTTTCTTCCCATTTCATCAAAATAATGAGTCAAAATGTGATATATTCTAATAAGTGTTAATATAAACGTATTTTAAATACATTCTAGGTTTTACTTAAAAAAGTGTAACCTCTAACTGGTGCAATTTGAATTGACGGGTGTGAAGAAGTCAAGAACAGGCACTATAAAAGGCACCGCAAGGGTAAGAAAATAATATATAAGATCTCAATTAGGAGCCTTACCATTATTGCATCAAGCCAGTCCTTGCCATTCATAATATACCTGGCATTCTCACACCTGCCATTTCGAATAGGGCCAACTTTACCAGAGGTGTTTCTCAAAAATGTTCAAGTAGTTGAGTAGTTCAAGTCAAGTAGTTAAGTATGTCCAGTAAGCAGTGCTTTCTTGTGATAAGTCATTCTATGGCTTTAAGTTGATTTTTTTCCCCTTGCATGTGTACATAGGTGTAAATTGTAATCTATGTATATGAAAGTTTGGGTGTCGCACTCTCATGAGGTGCTGTCATCGAATTACGCACCCTTTTCCTCAATGTTTGTTATTCCTCCCCCACACTTGTAAAACATTTTTGCCTGTCTTCATAGTGGAATTAATGATGTCTGTTAGCGTTGGGAGCGTTACATAATTTGTGATTGACCCCTGTTTGTAATTTTTTGTACTTTGGGAATGGAAAGCCTAGAGCAATTTGATGAGAGGGTTTATTTTTGTGCCAACGTGACACAGTTGAATCTGATAGTAAAAAAGCTTATAAAGACTGTGAATCCATCACCACCTACTCTTCATAAAAAATTATATATGTGACTATATTTGACAATGAGTTCTACTTACAATGTCTCAGTGCCACTTAAAATGAAAAATCTGACTTAAGCTCGGGTGCGATCAGATAATATTTCCGACAGAGTTGATTTTTACACATTGCTGTCCATGATTTGAACGATAAAATGTACAGAATTAAATTTTGAGAGCTGCAGAAACATCTATAAAGAAAAGATGGACGAAGTGAATCTTTTTTCCATCCTGAGAGTTCCAAGTTTTGCAGTTTCAAATGTGTAAAAAATATTTTAGTATTTATTTTTGTTGAGTGATAGATCCCTAACGAAGTGGCTCTTTCCGTCTGCAGATTTTCCTATTGGAAGAGTAATCATACATGAGAATCATCAAAACATCAATCTGGAGACATGCATAGTTTGCGGTATTTTTTTACCAAAACTTCTGTAAGGTACCGTTTTTTTATAATATTTTCAGTTGAATTATTGAAGTCAAAATCACTGTAATCTTGTTTTTAAAATGTCTCCTTTTAAAAAAGGATTTTACTTCCTTTCTCATTTTCAGGTCGTTGTGCCCCCTCATTTCTGCTCAATATTAGGTGAGATGGACCTCTATACAGGGTACAAAATTATGAATCATAATATCGATGGCTAAAGTGCGAAACCAAATATCTCCATTGCATTGTTTCAAAATGTCAGCTCCTATTTTATTTATTCGAGGAGAAACAACTGAGCTCTACAGCTTGAAATTCATACTGAGTACTCTGCTAACATAGAATAAAAACTGTAGAAGCTTCCAAGAAATTATGACAGCCAGTTTTGCACCAAAAAGAGAAAGTAAGACAGGAAGTGTGCAATGTCTCGTACAGAGATTCATGGTTTCGCACTTTAGCCATTGGTGAACATATGTTGCCTGATAGAAACTTTACGTAGAATGCAAGAACGCATCGAAACTTTCCAAGTTTAACTCATTAGTTAGAGAATAACGGTTTTTGTCAGTGTTAATTCACACTCCCCGCTTTCGGAAAAACCTGAGTCTACTCAAGTCGAATCGAGCCATAAAATTATTTTCGTGGATTTTATGATGGAGGAATTTTCCTGTGTACTAACTTAATTTCCCAGAAGTTAAAGATACAAGAACAGGAAGGAAATGGATGTGAAACCAAGTTGTAGTTATTTGCCTGATCCATAGGTTGATTCTATGTGTCTGATTTGCCCTACATTGATCATGGTTTTTTCAGCAGAAATGCTAACTATGAACGTTTTTTCTCACTTATGAGTTGATTTCGAAAGTTTCCATCATGTTTGACATGTTTAACATGAAATTTTGATGAGAACACATTTGCTGTACTGCTTAATTTCTTACCCTGTAAAATGGTATAAATTGGACTTCATTTGGACGTATTTCTATCGAGTGGAGCTATGTGCATTAAGACATGAGCCCTCAGACCCATAAGAATATGTGCATAACAAGGGCTCACGTGATAATGCACATAAGTCCGTTTGATAGAAATACGTTCATTCGGCAATTAGGAGCTACAATTTCTGACTCAGTTTAGAAACAATGTATGTACCATCAGTTTCTCTTTGTACATAAGTGTTATTGCGGATGAGCCAGGAATTATAATTCCGATTCGCAAAATGTCGTCCAAATGATATTTAAAGTGTATCTTCATCAAGTTTAGCGTTTAATATTTAATGTCATTTTAGGTCTTTTCAATTTTTCTTTTGTGAATAAGTTTCTTAATTTAATAGTATATTTTTATTAAATTGTTGAAACCTGGTTTTTTATTTCTTGTGTGACTTAACTTACCTCCATGAAAGCATTTTCATTATTTTTTCAATTTTGTTTCTATGATCTTATTACTTCATTTTTGAAGGTATTACAGAAAGAGCACATTTCAATGTGCATAAAACGCACAAAAGCAAACGGCACTTTGAAAGTAAAATAGTCTTTTGTTACACTTTTCAATGTATAATGAGGTTTGGTAGACTATAAACTGGATTTTAGTGATTCCCATACTTTTGCGCATCTAAATGTACTAAGTAGATTTTTAGAAAGTTAAGAGCATCTTTTTTGACGGAAGACAAAAAAACATCAATTTTTCAATTATTTTTGCCGTTTTGAATTAAGGCATACTCAGAGCAGTTCTGTGAACTGTTGTGTATTTTCTGGAAAAGTGGCCTTTATTTCTAAAAAATTTGTACTGAGAAACAAACGCATGGACTTTGCAATAATCAATCTAACTGCATTGCATATGGTCTAATTTCTTTTCAAGTTGTATTTTTTTAACAGAGAACTAAACTACTTGCTTCTTTGGAAATTTCTGTAAATTAACCCTAGGTAATGTACACTCACAAAATTTCGAGTTTGAGTGTTACGTAGTTTTCTGTTAAAAAAATAAAACATCAAAGAAAATTAGGCAACATTTGATGTAGTTATTTATGATGTAGTGATTTCGGTTCTAATCAGTAAAATGCAGAGTAGTTTCAGTGTCAATAACTCTCTCCAGAAATCAAAGAAGAAATTTAATAAGATCTCATGAATCTCGTGATCCATTATTTGTACACAATTTCATACAAAGAAATAAAGGAGGAAAACAAAACAAGGAAAAAATAGAAACAAGGTTCAAAAAGACTATATTCCCAAGAGAACCATCTTGTAGGAAAAAACCATGTAATTCAAATTCAATTATTCCATTGAGAAACAACGTTTAAAAATAACCTTTTAGATAACATTTTTTTCAAACTTAAGATTTATTTAGCAGACCCTTTGTCAGCGCTTTCATGGAGTTCCTCCGCAGAGTAGGTTGTTAAGAACTCTTTAAGATTGGTAATACATAAATACACATCTTTTGCATCAATTTGTTTAAGTTATCAATAGCTAAACTTGATACCTCAAGTTTCCGCTAGTGTTCTATTTTCTTTTAGCCTTTAGAAGCACAACTAAAAATTTTGCTTGAAGTTTTTGCCGACTTTCTTCAACGAGAGTTAGAAGGATTATGAAAGTTTTCAGAAAATGGCACTGCTTAGAGTCCTGTTAAAATTATAACTTTTTACAGATTTCAATTTACAAATTTCTGATGATAAGTTTTATGAATACATATTATTACGATTTGATATTTTAGCATTTCACCATCAGTGTGATGGATCCTTTCTAAGGTCTTGACGAAATCTTGCATGTTGCCGTGGTTAAAAGGGATCCTTATGAACTAAGAAAAATGCAAATGTCTAGAGTTCTCGAGGTACCAAGTTCTTAACTTGACTCAGGGGGAATATACTTGTGGGGTCTTACTTCCTTGGATCTTTGGATGGAAATATGGTCAGCATCGACGTCCGGGTACTTGGCTGCTAATGCCTCTCTGTCCACATCTGGGTATCTTCGCAGGATTGTCCTCACTGCTCTTCTATTACGACTGAAACACAACGAAAATAACATGTTAAATTCATTCATACCTTTAAAAATGGGTGTTAGTACTTATGTTCAACATTGGAGACAGGGTTGCCACAGTCAGGGAATACCGGGAAATGTCAGGGAAAATTGTTGAGTCATCTTTATTTGCTGTCTGGAATGGGTTTGACGTTTAGAACAACATATTTCGTCCGAAAACTACTCCTAATATTGTCTTGCTAACCATTGAGCATAACATCAATTGTCAGGGAATTTTACAAAAATGTGTCAGGAAAATGTCAGGGAATTTAATTTTCTCAATTCTGTGGCAACCCTGTAGAGAACGTTATTCATTAGTTGATAATTTCTGGAGGCTTTACTTTTTCTGTCATTTGGTACTGTAACGGATTTCTTCAGATATTTTCTACAAGACCGAGAATTTAGAAAAACAATTCACAATACATTCTCAGAGGAATTTCACTTCTCTTTAAGACACTCCAGAGTAATTAAGGAAAGGTTGAAACGTACCCTTCAAATACATTTAATAATGACATTCGACGAATGCAATGAGTAATAAAACCAAGGGTGCAGAGAGCTCAAAACTGCAGATCGTTCGCTGCAATCTAGTATTTTTGCCTCATGACTAAAAGTCCAATTTTATGGCAGAATGCCAAAATTCTCAGGTAAATGTTCCATTTGTCCCCTTTTTTCAAAATACAAAGCAAAAATAAGTCATCACTTTTGAAAACTGCCTCACGACTTAAGATTTGCCTCTCATCTGCTGCGATCCTGGGATTGTGAAATTGCGTATTTTCTGCGTGCCTGAACTAGACCAGTGAAATTTCATAAACTTTCAATGAAGCCATTAAGCTGATGATAATAAATTTCTTTAATAGATTAAACCTATATGGCATTAATTGATTTTAGATCTCAGATTTTGGGGGATACAAATCTATTTTGAAGCTTGCATGAAAAACATAGGGTACCTAATTTTTTTTAAAATTTAACAAATTTAAGAATCAGTGAACCAAAAAAAGAGAAAACTCATGAAAAGTTACAAAATCATGCAACAGAGGAAAGATTCAATTTTTAAAAACCCAAAAAATACATTATTACGAATTCGTAACGCAAGGGTTAAAAGCTAATTTGAAAAAAAAAACAAAAGAAAACCACCAAGTTTTGCAGATGGCACCCAGGCCTGCCACATCCCATCTCTGGCCCTGGTACCAATTCTAAGGTCCGGGGGCCCCAGAGTCCGGGCCCTATGAATGCCACCCCCCTTCCCCCGCCCCCATACCAACAGAATCTTGAAAATAGATAGAAATCTCCAAAAAAGTAAGAATAATTCTATAGTGCCCCAGCTTGTTTTTGAAACTTTATTGACCTTCTGCGAAATTTTCAAGAAAAATGTTTTCACTTTTCCTTACGAGACTAGGATTATATGTGAATTCGAAGTAGTGTGTCACAGGCCCCGGTACCAGGGACCTAGTATCCCCACTCTTGTGGCGGGCCTGATGACACCTGAGAGGCTATGTTTTAACTCGTTTGAAATACGTGTCTCATTTCAAATGTCAGATAACAATGGGTTCCAGCGTAGGTAAAAAGCACATCACTGAAGTACATAAACAATTATACAACTTACTTGAGAGCCCTCCTCTTTTCTTGCCAACGTTTTTCATTCAAAAGGAGCAGGAATCGTCTCACTTCTTTATCACGGTATTGGTGTGTGTGATGTCTCGCCCACTTTTTATGAGCTTCGCAGGGAATATTGTGCTCAAATTTGCGATAGAAAAATCGTAGGCCTGAAAGTAAAAGGATTTATTTTAACACCTAAAGAAAAGAATAAGTGTAATTATGGGGGAAAAAATTCATTAGAAATTTTTTGTGATTGAAACAAAGCATTATTACAGTGAATCACTTCTGTACTTGTCCATTTGGCCTAGATGCTCCACTGCAAGAGAAGTAATGAGGTTTCCTGGAATTTCACCATTAGAAAATTGAGGACTTCCTTGGTAAAAGGGCGTATGAGGCTAGCAAGGCTACTATAGATTGGGCAATTTTTTATGACGTACGCATCAAATTTAACTTATTCACGATTCACTTACTTCCACTCAATGGTGAGAAAAAAATCCTGGCACATTCAGGGAAAAATTCATAGCAGAGCTTTCAGGTAGGTTACTTGTGAATACAGAACTACATTCCACAATCTTAGCCGCATTGCAAGCCTGACGCGCTCTTTTACTTGAGAGGTCCTTAATTGACCTGGGTATGGAAATGAAAATTCTGAAAATCCATTTTTCTACACAGCAGAGGTGATTCTTTTAATTTGACTTGGATCCAGTTAGGCGGGTTCATCTCATTCTAGAATATTTATACTACTGGCGCTCATGGTTGTGCGAACATTGGGAGCTGGTAATCCAATACAGCAATTCTTTAATGCTCGAATCATTGAGCTTTAAATAAATGCGGCTCACATAAACATATTGCACCGTCTTAAGTCTACTTTTTCTTCCTTGGCATAGGACATAAGCCCTGTTTGTCTAGCCATTATCGTAGCAGGCACAACGCACGTATGATAGGAATGAAAATTGATAAAATCATTGTTGAAAGTGTTGATGTACAACATTACGGTGGTAGCACTTAGTGTAATTTTTTGTTTTGTTAGCCAGTGCTATGGGTTAAAATGAAATTGTTAACTCACATTAACATAAAAATGAATATTTCATAATAAAAATAAAAACTTCATTTTTATGTTAATGTGAGTAAAACAAAAAAAATAAAATAAAATAAAAAATAAATAATAAAATCAACCAACTTGAGTGACTAAGTTCCATTTTATTTATTTTTGAACTCTAGGAAATAGACCTTCCGAAACGCTACTTCAAAGATTTAGAAAAGAGTTTCTCAGATGCTTTCATGTAGCTACATCTATTTTTTCACTAAACTGAGACCTTCCTATTTAAATTACTACTGGGAAGACGTACCTATTTGATTGTGACGCTCTTCACCCGGACGTTCACCAGATTCCCCTACTTCCAACTGCCAATAAGCTCGATTTCTTTCTCGCACGACTTCCTCCAAATTTTGCATACTAATTTTTACCTGTAATAAGAAGATACACGCATTATTGAAACTCTGTTTTGAAAGATGTTGATTTTCAAAGGTAAAAATGACCTTATTAAGTGTAAGAAGCGTAGGAGAAAGTAGGAGAATGAGTCAAGATTTTCAATTCATATTTATAAGCAAGCCTCAATAAAAAACCCTCGCACCAGGGGTGCAAATTGGACGTATTTCTGCTAAAAAGAACTATGTTGCATGCAAACTTTATGCACATATTTCCTTCTGGCATAAATACGTTTGCTTGTTCTAAGCCTCTGGAACTCTCAAAGAGGCTTCCATAATTTTTTGGATCTTGCTGGGTTTTTGCAAAAAATGTCAACAAAATGCGCTGGTTAAAAAATAAAAAGAATAAGTTTGCAAATTAAGCTATCAACTATCATGTCAGAGGATTAAAGAAGCATCCTATGATTTTCTTGAGAGGCACAAAGCATGAGAATGGACAACATTTACTTACGACCATCACTGGCAATGATAGTCAGCTAAACAGTATTTTTTTAACATTACATTTAATGCAACATTCTTGTTATTTAATTAATTCCTCCCAAATGTTTGCCTAATGTCGTCTAAGCTCAAAATTGAGAGATTTAAAAAAAAGAAAGAAAAATATTGCTCTGTATAAAATCGGAACTGGGTCCGAATATCCAGGGACCAACATATTGATTGAGCGAGTCAACATTAGCAACTTTTAGTGCTAATTAAATTGTCAATACATTTGAGAATAAGCATGAAAATTGTGGTCGAGTCGCTGAGATTGTCTGGTATTTGAAAGGACACAATTACATCTAAGAAACCAAACGTCATAAGTGACTCAGCAGGACAAAATTTGTCTCAGAGTGAATTATACCATGGGTTAAGAAGGGTTAGTTCTGCATTATTTGACACAAAGAATATCCATAAATTCCAAAATTTGACCTTGTAGCAGCATTTCAAAGTCCAAGGAAGAAAAACAAGTTTTCCAGGAATACAGCAGTTACAGTTTGTCTGCACTGTTGCCAGTCTTAAGGGTCGAACGAAGGACAAAGGAACGAACCACCTTAAGCGCTTACATCATTAGTAATACAAATCATGGCTTGAAACTTTGACCCAACGTCCTCCAAAATATTACATAAAAAATTATAATCATTGAAAACAGAAAAATGTGGTTTTTTGCTGTTTTTTTACTCTTAAACCATTTTCTGGTGTACTTAACTATTTACGTTTTCGTTTAAAGGCACATTTTGCCCTGCTGCGTCACATATAACAATCATATGGTAGTATTAATAATTTCACTGACGGAAAAGAAGAACAAGATGAAAGACAGATTTAAAATGTCCCCTCATCCAGGAACCTTTTTTGCATTTATTAATACAAAAAATGTGGCAACCATGAGAAAGAATATTTACCCTCAGGAGCACAGCAATTCAATCCAAGAATTTTGTCATGATTCGCTTGGAAGACTTTATTTGTAATAATATCCAAGGCCACATATGTGAAATATGAACTTAATCCTATTTTTGAAGAGTTGACTTTTTTTTAAGAACAAAAATTTGAAAAAAAGGTTTTCCCGCAGTTTCCCCCGGCAAAACTGTGGTGAAAATGAATGTTGAAGATTCAAAGAAAAAATATCTTACCCTAAAACTCTAAAGAAACTTAAGGAAAAAACCGCAGAAGGCTTTTTCGATAGAATTTTTAAGATTTATAAGGCTTGTTTTGTTACAAGCTTTTTGGATGGTAAAAAGTGCTCAATGGAAAAAGTGTATAAATCAAATAAAAGCTCTTCTTTGGGTAAAGAAGTTTAAGTGGGCGATTATCCGATGATATGATTATGCATTCTCATCCCTTAAAGAAGCTATTTATCGAATTCTTCATCATCAATGCAAAACTGAACACTCTAAAAAATGGTATTTTTCTCGTGAAATTCATGAGACCCATAAAGCAGGGCCCTGCGTAAGGCCTATTGTGCATTCCCAAAAGCTATGACAGGGTAAATAATAAAGCCATAAATTAAGAATGATGAATGCTTACCTTGTCAATTCTTTCTGGGTTTGGAAACAGTGCATGATTTTGCTTGTAGAAATGTTCCATCGTAAGAAGCATATTCTGTTCTTTCAATAAAACAAACCTGAAAAAGGAAAAAGTAACGTTTGATATAGCACCAATTAGAATTTTGAAATGTATATCCTCTTAAGAAACAAGCATACTACAAAGAAGAAAAAAATTATAACTTACTTTCTGAAGTAATAAAAGCTGAATCACCCATGAAATCCCCCAGTTACAAAGCTGTTCGATCTCTTCTAAAAATATAGAAACACTTGAGTGTTATTCTATGAAAGTTAGAGAGGTGAGCACTCGGGAATTTATGGTATGGAAAGTATCATAAAGGAGCTGAGGAAAATGAAATGGACATTTGCTGTTTTGGTACAATTAGCACAAGATCGATATTAAAGCTGAATCCCAAACACAGATTTTCATGCTTGACTTTAAGACAAAATTAACAAAAAAGTACACATGAAGCCATATCTATGTAAACAGCAGATATCGAACATCCGCTATTTTTAGGGATAACACTGTTTCAGAATCCGTGAACCTTCAAGAAAGCTGGTACCAAGTTTTAGACTTCTGGCATAATTTTCCATTAAGATAAGAATAAGAACCCCTCTTATATATATATCTAAAAACAGTGGATGTCAGAATTCATTGAAATAATAAATGTTGAGCTGAATAATTTGCTGAAGCTCATTAATCTCCTCAAGGATAATGTATATGAGCACATTAAAGTAGTTAGTAAAAGTTACTAAGACCTGTTGCATGTAGATCTTCGGGAGATGGCACCTTTTTTTATGTTTTCCACATTTTAAAAGACTGAGAGTATAGTTTGCTCCTAATATTTCTTTAGAAAGTTACGAAATATACATTTTTTTTCAAAAAGTCATTAAACACTCAACAGTAATCATAATTTGATCTAAATAAATTGTGCTATTTTCTTACATTAGGTAGGTCGTTCATTCTATGCCTTAAAAAAAGTATTCCGTACAAACGGCAGATGCAGTCTTTTTTTTTAAAATTACCTACCTATCCTTTAAAAAAAGAGTTCACGGGTTTTCAATATTTTGGGAAGATTATCTCTTCAAAACCGCGAACTTTTCTTGTTCCTTCATTTTTACATGAATTTAGTACATTTAAATGTTAAAATTTTAAAAATCCCACGTTTCATGCCATGCTGAAAATTTCATGAGAAATGTGCATCCAAGAAATCGTTTAATATACCTCCTATTGTATGCTACATATTTTTACAGAGAATTCTTTATTACCTGTAGGAGCAACGAATTATTTTGTCTAAAATTAAGGTAAAAAATCAAAATTTCAATCTCAGTAAGAACATTTGACTAGTTGCCTGGGAATTTGACAAAATGCCTGATTTGACTATTTGCCTTCGCCACATATAAGGCTTCATACATATTTAATGGAGGAAACATTGGAAGGGGCTCATGATTAAATGAGCCCCCAAAAAAACCTTAACGTCCATCAAGACAAAGTAAAGATAAACTAAGTGTGAAGGTTTATTTGGCACTTCCTGACTCGCTCCCCTCACCGCTTCTGGAGGAGTCCCCAAGAGCTTTGACCGTTGGTTGATTTAGCAACTCACAATGAATTTCGAGGAATCTTCTAATGTGTACAATTTCGGTTTTGTAACATTTTGCAGTTTTTGGGTTTTAATTGGAAAAATTGACATTTGCAATTTTTGCATGAGCCAATCTTTAGTAGTAAATATAATTGAATCGAATACATACTGTGAATGTGCAAAATAGGTAATTACCATAGCTTGTGTAAATCTGAGTTGCTCTTTAGACGGAGCTCCGCTTGGTTATAAGCTCTACCGACTTGAATGTTATCTTTCGTCCAATTTTTCTTGTCTTCAAAAAATTCACTGAGGTCTAGTTTGGGAGAGGTAGTGTGAATGCTAGCCACAAGTGAGGGTCTGAAAAATACATTCATAATGGTTAGCAATTCGAGTAAAATTGACGAAAATGGCTTCCTCTGTGGTGATGTAAAAGCTGCGTTCACAAAACGAATGGTTCAAGAGCTAATTGTGAGTTACCTGATGCCAAATGGTTGTTTAACTGCATTTAAATTATCTCATAACTTCATATTTCAGTACAATTCTCCAAAATTTGTATGCACTGATTAACCATCTCTAGAAGTCAATCGGACCTTTTAGTTACATTTGGTTGACAAAAGAAACGTATAGTATCAAGGAAGTTTACTCCAACAATGCTGTAGGTTGTTGATTCATTAGGGAAGTGGCAAAAAATTTTTGTAGGGTTTTACTGTGCTTCATCATGAGTGAAGTGCAAGATTTTACTGTGTATTGTCATGGGTTAAGTTTCATGAAACAACCGAAAAGGTAAGAAAGAAGCTCAACAAATCATCTCTGAGGGAGAAAAGCTATTAAAACTCCGACCAATCGAAAGCTGATGGTAGAGTGGACATGGAGAGCACTGCTGAGTTTCGCCTGCGTGTGGGTCTGGCTTTGTCATACGAGCTCAACAAAAATATTGTTTCAAACAAGTTCCATTTTCGACATTTTTAAAACAGGGTTTCCTTGCCATTTAGGTTTGAAAAAATTGAAGACATTCCTGAGGGCTTAGTTCACAACATAATTTAAAAAAAAAGTGCATTAAAGAACATGGGTGCCACTGAGTGTCTCCATTAAGTATTGGAATAGGTAGTTTGAACTGAAAAATAATTGTACATCTTGCCTCAATTGTCTGACCAAGTCATGTTCATCAATAATTCTTACATCTCCGAGAGCGTCTCATACCAAGGTTTCTCGAATCAAAAATTAAAATGTAAGAAACCATAACTTGATGCTCTGGATGAAATTGCCACTGCTTGTCCATGCAAACTCAGTCTGGGTAAACTTCTGATTTCGTGCATATTCACAACCTAAATCTGTCTACGGTATTTATTCAGATCAGTCAGTAGGTAGGCTGAATGATCAAAACGTATTTTCTCTAAAGAGAGCAGCTAGATTGTTCTTGTCTTGGAATTCAAACTTCAAAATCAATTAAAATAAAATGTCATTAGCAACATTTGCATTGGAGTGAGCCCTTAAGTGAATGGCTAACTTCCAGAGGTTGTGGAGGATTCGTATTTGGCTTGAAAGTCAATATACTTTATGAATGGGTCAGTTGCGCTGGTCACAGAATCGTAGTACAATGCATGATTCTAGTAGATCAGCTAAAGATAATAAGATCTATCGAAACAACATTTTTCTATGTTCAATATTAACCGAGATATCGCACCTTGAAAAGGAGAGTTTAAGGCGTCTTCCATCGCAGTAGTGACACTCTAGGTTTCCTTTACCTTGCTTTCATCGGTCGATATGACGCAAATTTGCACTGGTTGTTCGACACACTCGGATGAAAGCAAAGTGGAAGAAATCAAGGGTGTCATTACCGCATTGGATGTCAAAAACTCTACTTTTCAAAGGGTTGTATCACGGCTAGTATTGAACGTAGAAAGTTGCTGCTTAGACATGTCTTATTATTTTGAGCTGATCTACAAGATTCATGCATCACACACGACTGTGTGACCAGCTGACCCACTGATCTTCTAATCTCCTTGAAATATCAACGAGCTGATTTGTCATTAATTTGAGCTGCCTGAATAGAGCAGTGCCTGTTCCATAGATTCAGTAGACCTTCAGAAGGTCTAAGTCATAAACCTGCTTAGAAAAAGTTCTACATTCATTCTAAGAATGAACTAACTCTTCTAGATAGATATTAAGTAGAAGAGTCACATCAGGGGATGGTACCGTTATGGTTTGAACCATTGTACCTGAAAAACTATCAGGCATTGATAAGGTTTGTCGACTTCAGGGTGACAAGATTGAAAAGGTACGTACTTCTAAGAGCACATTGAGATTCAAACCTTGCCGCTGTAAGCCAAGAAACTTTCAAACAAAAAAGATGTAAAGTTAAATTTCTGAGAAAAGAAGTTATTTCTTCAAAAAATTATGCGTATTGATCAGAGGCATGTTCCATGATGGGTTACCTTGCGAGCTGTAGAGGCTTGAGATAATGATTTCCTATCTCTTTAAGGGATGATGCCAGTTGGAAGATACGTCTTAGAGCCATTTTCGTGAAGTAAAGGAGCCGGGGTGTGGACTAGAGTAAAAATAATTGACACATAAGTCACAAATCAAAAACTTCCGATATGTTTCTTCTTAATCATGTTAAAATTTGAGGTTATGTTTGGTATACACGAACTTTGCAACGTTGCCAAAATAGATCAAATAATACGCAGGGGTACCGCCCAATGAGCGGTAAAATCAAATGGTAAAATCACGAATGCATTCGACCGATTGGACCAACATGCGAGAGCAAAGTCATCTGTAAAGCTCTGTGACAATAAATAATACATAGTTCTCAAATAAATTGAGAATGCTAGCGGTTTCTTATTCAATCTTTGTTTCCGTAAGGATTGAAATGAGTGGAAAAAGGGGGAAAATTGGAAACACTTTCAACACCCGAGAACGTCAGGGTACCACGCGAAGTCCGCCAACTGTACTGTATCGATTTTTAGTCGTGTGCCCGCGCTCGTCTCAACACTATATGGCTGAGATACGCGAAAAAAGTGGATGTTGTTTTCGTTGAATATGAATCTGATTTTAATCGAATGGCTCTTCGTGTTAATATGTAACTGTGCTCTAGTTAATTCAATTTATTACACAGGTAAGCTGACCGAATTCCGTCCCTCATTTTATGGTACAGCCCTTGAGTTATCTGTCATGCTTTCTTTTCGCACGTTCTCTTCACCTGCCATGTTAAGTTTCGTGAAAAACGCGCGAATTATGCCTCTTAATTTTTCATTCGACGCTCTATTTTCACGCCCATTGATTCGGAAACTCGACGCCTTTGCACTGAATTATTATAACCATTTATTTCCGAACCGTTCTTCTCGGAAAACTTCGATTGACATTGCTCTTTCTCCTATGTTTACAATGTGTTTGACGTGTAAAAGGACTTGTTGAAGAATACGTGAAAATCCTAATTACGTGAGAATTTTCTTTTGATAGTGGGCTCAATATGATCTCCTCATATTAGAAAAAAACTGAGCCTCGGATTTTCCTAGCCATGCCTCTAAAATATGTTCTTTCAGAGGGTTTTAGCGCACATATGTTATCAGCTAGGCAAACATATTTTCTGATAAGACTCCCACGCAATGTGGAGTTTGATCGTGACGCACGGGTTGTATGCATTCTGTTCCCCTTTCCTTGCAATTTCACGAAAAATTTAAGAACCTCAGAAACTTTGGGGAATGAATTTTCAATTTTATGTTCCCTTCAACCGCGTATTTTTCTGTCCGACCTAGGTTATGTTGTCCTTAGGCCGTTCGTCATGGAAATGGAAGTTGTTCATTTTTCTCCTCTCTCTCTTTTGAAGCACCGTCCCGACCAGAAGAATGACATTAATAGGCGTCCATAATTTCATTCAACTTCTTAGTCAAAAGATAAATATTTCGACTCGCGACTTAAAACTTTCCTTGTCCTTCTCTCATCTGCAAATTTTATCCAGGGAAAATGAAGAGATACTTACCTAAAAAAAAAAAAGACTCAGAGATTTTTTAGCAGTTTTTGGCACTCACGTTATGGCACTTTTTAGCGTTCACTCTGATGTAGATTTTTACAATCCCCCCCCCCCTTCCCGGAATACCATAAGGTATACTTGTTTGCCGGACGCATCAGTTGTTGGTTTTTAGTGAACGTGTTTGGATTTTGCCCCTCCCTCATCCTACACATCAAAATATTTAACAGTTACCAACAAAACGGTCGAATTAATTAAAACCGTGACGTCGTCGTCCAGTTTTTTGGCCCCTCTCTTTTTTCATAATTTTTTTTCTCCCTTCATTTTCCTGTCATTTGTCTCGTTTTCACCATTATACTCTTTTCTCTCTCCTTTTGTTCCCGTCGCTTCTTCTCTTGCCCTCCATTTTTTCTGGCTTTAGTTCCTTGTTCTTAATTTTTACCTTTTCTTAAACTCTCCCTTTCATTTTCCTACTTCTTTCCTCGCCTTTATTCCTCGAAGAAACCTCTCTTCAGCGCAGCGGATCCCTGGCGCATCTCGATGGCTGACGTAAAAAAAAATGCGCGACTCCAATTGCGACGTTGCAAAACTCCGCTCTTGTTTAGTTTTCCTCTTTTTTTTCACAAGAAAACTAATTGGCGTTTTTCTTGAGGTTTTCTATGAATTTTTCATCCATTCTAAAATATTCACAGAACGTTGTCAAGGAGATATTTTAACCGGTTTCCTGTTGGAAATACTTACACTTAATCGGAAATTTAGAAACGCTGCAATTGAGATACCCCTGCACGAATTATTATTGGACTTCAGCCGTCGACCTGCTTCGAAAATATTATGACGTCACGGAAGGTTTAATTGACTCCAAAATTCTTTTGATAGTATAAACAATTCCACCATGAATACGGCTGCGCCGTTAAAAATGAATTTATTCTCCCGGATTTTGGGCTAATCGCGGTTTCCGGTCATCTGCCCAACTTCCGGTTCCGGGTTGATCGCGATTTCCGGTGCGTAGATTAACTGTGATTTCCGGTTTCCAAGTTAATTGTGGTTTCTGGTCCTCGGATCAACGGCCATACTCGATTCTTGGCTGACCACGATCTACGATTAGTACCAATAACGAGGAATAACTGTCTGCGTAACATCTGAACTCTGTGTTCGCAACAGTTTTCGGTGGCCTGATATTGCCAGATTTTTATATCGCAGAAAATCGTCATGATATCGTTTAGCGCGCGATATGAATCACGTGGAGCATTGAGTTTTCATGAGCGGGTGGTTTAAATTCACGCATCAAGAATCATTAATTATTATCTTTGTAAGGAGTTGATTTCGGTAATTTTTGTTGTGCGCATTGTGTTTTACGTGACATTTTGTTTCAGAAACATATATCAGAATGCTGCAATTCGTACCTTGTCTAGTGGTCCATTGTCTAATAACCAGTGTGTTCGAAACTCACATGCGCCAACGCGCCAAATGCGCCTCAGAAATCGGTCACGACGCCTAAAAAATGAAAGCTCTGCGCCATCGTGGCCCCTAAAAATTTCCCCCTCCCCCCTCCCAAAAAATCTTAATTTTTCTGTTTGGTGATTTATTGAAATTTCCCCCAAGTAACAGCTACTAGTTTTGTAACTAAAACATCTTGCGTCTAACTTGTCACTAAATGCGCCGTGATACATAGGCAAAAAGTCAATTTGGCCCCTAAAAAATTGAGCTTGATACGCCACATGGCTCCTGAAACTCCAAGGTGAGTTTCGAACACTGCTCAGGGCCGGATTTATGTACTTGCCGCCCATGGGCCGCCTGTATTTTGCCGCCCCCTTCTCATTCGTTTTGAAACATCAATAAAAACCATCAAGTGAACGTGCCGGAGGGAGAAGGGTGCATAATACGCGTTCACTCGTGTTGAGAACTTTTTTTGGGAAAGCCCTGTCAACACTACTAGCAAAAGTTCACGGAACCTCGCGCGAAAGTTCAGTTCCGTAAACCTATCTCTGTGGGGACAAGGCCTTTGATTTGTAAGAAATGAACTAAAAAATTAAGAAAGAACAAACATAAATGTGGTTTAATAATTTTAACTTCCACCGCCGTGCCGCGCTGCGTGAAGTATTCATGTAGTCTTGTAGGCACTGTGCGTTTCACGCCGCGCCGACCGCTGTTGACCGTACTGTGTTTGACGCAATGCGTGAAGTATTCATGCAGTCTCGTAGGCGCTAAAATGTGTTACATGCCGACCGCTGTGCCGCGTCGAGGGCTTCTCCTTTTCATCTCAAGTCCTCGTCATCATTTCTCTTTGTGCAGCGCCGCTCCAGGCCAAATTGCGTGTTGGTTTCTCTCTTAACTCGAATAATTAAAGGTGCTTTCTCAATGAAAGACGACAAAATTAGAAATTACTGTACTCTCAGGAAATGAGAGATTTCGTCGCCTTCTCTCGTTTGTAATTTTTTTTCTAAATTCGATTTTTTATACACCTACATTTAAAAAAATCGCAAAATTTGCCGCTCCCTATAGATTTGCCGCCATGGGCTGTGGCCCACGTGGCCACCCCCTTAATCCGGCCCTGACACTGCTAATAACCTGGCGGTCGTTACGCAATTTCCGGTTTATATTGATGAATGTATTGATAGTGTGCATGGTCAATGCTGAAGAATTGGCCCTGTTTCAGTAACACTTGCAATATTGTATTGAAAATTCACCAAGAGGTGTTTGCCCATGACAGCAAGAGCAAATGAACAGAGAAACCATTAGAGTATTAAAAGAGCAGAGTACTCCTTGAATTATTAAGTCAGGCAAATTCTTATACAGTCGTAGAGTCCATACAACATGAGTGACAATCTTGTAAAACATCTACGAACTTAGGCTCCTTGCATATTGACTTTTTATGATCGACTTCGATATCGCAATTAATATCCGATAAATTGGTGCATTATTAGGTTAAAAGTGTAACATGTGTGACAGTGTATCCCGACAATGGTTCAACACTGTATTAACTACTCCAAGTACTAATGTATAATTGATAGCACCTAATGTATGCATATTAGGCAGACAAACAATTGGAGGGTTCGGGAAACAATGTCGAGGAAATCTTTTGAATGAGCCGTAACGTCTTTAAGATAGTCTGGCTGAAATTTTAAATCGGAACAAAGAAAGTGATACGATTCTGAAAGTTTCCCTCCTCTTCTTCGTAAGTAAATATTTAAGCCAAATAAATCTTTCTATATTGAGTGTATATTTGAGGAATCAGGGCCGGATTTACCTACTTGCCGTCCATGGGCCGCCTGTATTTTGCCGCCCCCTTCTCATTCGTTTTGAAACATCAATAAAAACCATCAAGTGAACGTGCCGGAAGGGGAGGAATGCATAAGACACGTTTACCTACTCGTATTGAATACATTTTTTGCGAAAGCCCTATCAACACTACCAGCAAAATTTCACAGAACTTTGCTTCTCCACTTATAAGAAATGAACCAAAAAATTATGAAAGAACAAACATAACTGTGGTATAATAATTTTAACTTCCGCCGCTGCGCCGCGCCGCGCTGATCGCACTGTGTTTGGCGCAATGCGTAAAGTATTCCTGCAGTCTTGTAGGCGCTCCGTTTCACGCCCACCGCTCCTGACCGCACTGTGTTTGGTGCAACGGGTGAAGTATTCATGCAGTCTTGTAGGCGCTAATATGTGTTACATGCCGACCACCGCCCCGAGGGCTTGTCCTTTTCATCTCAAGTCCTCGTCATCATTCCTCTCTGCTTGGTTGTCGAATGAAAACTTGGCAGAAATGTTTCGTGTGGTGCGTGGCAGGAAATGATGAATGGTGGCACTCCATTCTGATCAAAATTTCACGACCCGTCCAATTTTGATTGAAGAAGACTGCTGTATGGTGACCATCAGTTATCAAGTGGTCTATTTTGATCAGAATTTGATCGTGCATCGAAGCCTTTAAAGAATGTTCTTGAGAAAGTAAAGGAAAATCTTAATCGTGAACTTTTGTGAGTACAGTAAACAGTGAACTTGGCGGGAATACCCAACTGAATATCTCGCTGAATTTCCTTTTGATTACACGCAAAAATTAGCAAGAGTTTGGACAAAAACTGCACATCTAGATATTTGTAACTGAATCAATTTCGCAACTTCGGAACGGAGTAGGAAAACCCTCC